TGTGATTGATGACACTGTGAGGGTGGTTGAATCTATACAGGATCTCATTCTATGTGGACAACTGTAGTTTGCAAGATTGTTGAACTGGATGAGTGGTCACTATGTAGCCCTTCGGCTAAGGGCATCCTCATGTATTGACCTGTCGAACTTGGGCGATATGTGCTGAAGTCTGGATGGGTTACAGCTATACATGGAATGGAGTTCATCTCAAAAGGGGGTGTGAAAATTTGACATCTGTAGTGAGATGAATCCATTTGGTCTTTTCTGCATTGGAAGAAGTGAATTTGTTTGTCATCATGAGCTCACCATCTCAACCGTGATGGTTGACATTGTATTTGCACGTTTCATGTTTTGCACGTTTTATTGGAGATGACGAAACCTACAACGATATACTTTTCGTCTTCTTTGAGTACTTTGATTGCACGGAGAACACAGTGAGGATTTGAATTTGTATAGTGACATGGAAAATCAAACCATTTTCCATATCTTTTGCTTTAGTTTCCACCGGTGAAGTGCACGAAGGAATCGTGAGAAGATCGTAGAATTCATTTTGTGACTTCGGAAGAAGGAACTTTGTTTGACATTGATCGGAGAAGTTTAGGTTGTTTTGTCTCTCAATGATGATAGCGAGAGCAACGTTCTGAAAGGCATTCAGAACTGGAGTTGCTAACAGATCTGAGGGAGACATCACAGAACACGTTTTGGTGCTTGAAATGTTTCAACAGTTTTCAAACACTCACTTATTTAAACAAACAAACCATGTCTTGATGCAAAGACTTTTTGTGACGACATGTGTTTTTGATCGCTTTTGTGAAGTTGGCAGAAAGATGCTAACTTGCGACTCCGCATCTGTTTTATGTCAAGGAGTGACACACCAACAAGAACCATAGCGACATGAGCAAACATCTTGTCTCTTGTGTGTTGTGGTAAAAGTGGCTGAGCTCTGGGAGTGGTTGACTTGGTTGCGTGGACGGTCTAGTTTGTTAAGGACGACGTCCTGGACGCTGACCCAAGTAGGTCTAGAGGTTTCGAAGGTTGAGGTTACCTTCCGCAACCGACTCCGCTTTTTCCGTCCAACGCCTCTTGGCTTTCGCCAGGTCGTTCCACACGTTCAGCTGCATGTTGCACAGAAACGGTAAATTAACTGATTAATGCATACCAGGAGCCGCCATCAGGGATAGGAGCCACAAAAGTGGACTGGAAAAGGACCTGTACATAGTCCAGCAGCCGTCACAATCCATTAAGAGGTGTACCGACTCCCCCCGACTCCGGCAAGACTCCGCAGCTAAAGACATCAAAACTGGCACAAAACTGTGGTAAAACCGAAGTTTTGCATCTCCAGCCTTCTTACGGAATCTGCTGGAGTCATGAAATCGAAACTCTTCCCCCAATGTAAACAAAGGATTCATCCGGTTTTAAATATGTACTATTATTCTTTCACCGGATGATACTGAACTCCGGGCGACATACACAACCCGACCCGCAAAGTTGCAGCGTTAGGAGTCTAGAGGGGGCGAAGGGAATTATTTTTTTTCCTCTGGTTTGGCCGATCACGCTCTAAGGCTCGGTCCTTACATGAGAAGAAGCGGTTCTCAAAAACACCTCTACATGGACATAGTTGGTCTCATGCAGAATGGCAAATCATCACAACAAACCGCACAAGAACACCAAAACAAAAGCCGACCCGCAATCCCCCAGCCAGATTTGCGTTTCGCCAGAAGGCAAACAGCAAAACCAAAAAGCGAACGGGGCAAGCCCAGAAACAACCACACAGAAGATTTGCCAAATGGTAAAGTTCCACTGTGTTACAAGTCAAAAACATGCAGAAACGAATTAATTGCCACCCAATAAAGCGAAACTTCGTCCTTACTTGTTGCAAGAACCGGAGCGCAAACGATTACTATAGCTGTACACCATTGCCGAAACCCAGCCTCTCAGAGTTCTTGTGCACGAGCCCGTAAGAAAACCAGAGAATAAGACCATAAGTAACCAATAAGAAGAGCTTGGCGTTGGCGGCCAGGTGTCTCTTGCGCGGCCCCCCGTGTGGGGAGCGGCAGGTAGCAGCAACAAAGACGGTCACAGGGCCAGGCAGTGACCATCTGGTTAGCCTCTGGGTGGACATGCATAGTGTGTCAAGTCAGAGGGGAGCACGTTCTTGACACCAATCAGCCAGGTCAGCACTACAAAGTTGTATCGACCGGGCAGCTGGCCAGAGCCTCACATCATGCAGTGGCACGGGGCGTCGAGCAAAACAAAACAAAGATATCTGCAGAACTGTTCAGGTGCTTCCAGAGTGTCTTCGTCTCAGCCAAATACCTGCAGCGCGTGATACGAGGGGTCAGCAGTGCAATCCAGAATAACCTCCACTCACCCAAAGAGTGGGCCAGCTGGAGCCTCTGATCCGAAATTAAAAACGTACGAACCATGCAGGCAGACTTTGCTGCTCACAGGCGCCCCGGGCTGTCCGACAGAGAGCTCCAAGGCTTACCGAGGCCTGCCCGAGGCACGAGGACAAAGCGAGGCTCACGGGGACCCGAATCTATATAATACTATTGTTGGGGTCCCTTAGCAATTGATGGTGTGGCAGTGGGACACTGTGTGGTGCCTTCTGGACTTACAAAAGTGCTGCTGTTCGTCACAGCTGCGCCAGTTTTGGCAAAAAAGGTCACTGCAGAATCTCATTTTCGGAGCTGTAACCATTGGCCTTGGACTCCAAGAAGTGGTCCTCCCCAGTTGCGTTGAAAAATTGATGGTCAGACAATCCCCAACTTTGATCCACTTGCGTCATGCGAAGACCTTTTTGTGTGAAAGTTTGGTGAGAGGATGTACAGTGTACTGAACCACCTTGAACCTACTTGAACATCTTTAAACCTATCTTGGAACAATGTTTGTGCAGGTGAACAGTTAGGAAACCATTTTAAGTTTGTAGGAACCGATCTGTGAACTAGAGAACCCATAGGAACCTATAGGAACCAGGTAGGAACCAATTTGGAACCAAATGGAACCAGTTTGTGCATGGAAGAGCTTGGAGATGGATTTTCGTTTGTTTTTGTGGTTTGTGGTGTTTTTGGATGTTGTTTGACCCATGCCCTAGGAACTTGATGTTGTGACTGTATTGGGTAGGAGTTTTGTAGGGTATTTGTGAGTTTGAGCTGAAGACGTTTTACTTGGAGAAGAAGCTGGAAGAACGTTTTTAAAGCTTGAGAACTCTTTTGAAGTAGTTTGAGAAGTTTGAGAACGTTTGAGTGTCACTGCGTTTTACTCTGTACGACTCTTCTAAGAAGAAGAGTGACTAAGCTGTCCAACTTGTGTGGTTTGGCTCAAGTCCGGGCTGTGAAAAAGAGCTGCCACGCCGCGCTCGTGTTTTCACATGGTAGCGGAGCCATGAAATCTCTATAGAATCGCTGACACCAAGGTCGTCTATAAAATTGCAGACGTTGACACTGGATAGGTACCCCCAAACAAAGGATGGCTCTAAAACGCACCATGTTTCGAAGCTTCTAATTTTCGAGAGGATATTGCGAGGAGGAAAATTTAAATCAGGATGAATGGTTACAAGCCCTTGCGATTTCTGCTAGGCAGCAACGTCACAAGGCAAGGTCCGGAAAAGCAGCCATTTTGATTCACATATCTGCCAACGCACGCGCGGATGCCTGCGGATGCCCCTGCGGATGCGAGAGAACCCTTGCGAAGGACCACTGCGGATGCCAAAAACCCCCAAAAAATGGCCGCGGATGCATTTCCGGCGTTTGAGAAATACAAAGTAATAGAAAGCAACCCGCCGTGCGGATGCCCAATGGGGTGTGTGGCACATTGTATGGGGGGGAGGGGGTTTTCTGCCGTTTCCTCCCCTTCCCTCGGTGACGCCTTCGTGTTGAGGAGTTCTCTTCTTCCCACTTGCGGCTTCCATGCCTCTTTCCAAACTTGGCCTTGCCACGCGTTGACTCCCCATCAGGTCTCGCCTCCCAGACTTGGCCCTGCCACATTCTAGGTTCCCATAAAGGGTGGTTTCTGCGAAACCGGTGCCTGCCACATGTTGACGTCCTCAAAGGCGGTTTCTTCCACAGTAGCTCCTGCCATGCGTGCCTCGGGCAGGCCTCGGTAAGCCTTGGAGCGCCTCGAATGCCAACAAACCTGCTTCATCATGGCCCCCAAAACAGGATCCAAAAAACCAGTAGAAACATGGCGGCCAGAAAGGGACCTCGACTGTACAAGAAACAAAGTGGGACGCACAGAGAGAAAAAGCATGTATTAACACTTACGCTCATGCTAGTGCGTCGCAAATCTGCTTGCAAAACCTCTCTGCGGGCAGCAGCAAAATTCTCCGATGGCTGACCCCACTTTTGGGTCCAAATCTGGATCCCAAAACGGGGCCCAAGCAAAGACTTAAAAGAAGGAATGAAAATGTGATCCAATTCTGGATGCCGAAGCTAAAATATAACTGAAATTTTCTACATCTGTTCGGAGTCAACGCTGCTATATTTTTTTTTATTTCTTGCACATGTCCTTATACCTAACACATTTCGCACATTTTTCATACTATATCTCGCCAATGAAACGGACCAGCGACTGGGTTGTCCTAACGGATGAGACGTGGTATATTCGGCACAGTCTGCAGTGATATGACTGCGAACAGTTTCCCAGCTCAAAGCAGGCATCATGTTCAAACACATCGAAATTACAAGCGGTAGACCAGAGTAGGGTGACAGACTTTGTGCAGCACCTATCCACCCATATCCGCAATGAAATTCCATGCCAACAATCACCGAAACAAAAACACCTATAGATAAACATGGGCCAATGACAGACACCTTGCACCTTGCTTGAATCTGCGAAAAGTCACTGACTAAATTTCATAGTTGAGAAGACACCTCTTTTTTGACAAGTGATAACCCAAGAAAAAATTCACTTCAGTTTTCCATAATAGTGTTCTGATTCTACCCAGGAACCAACCACTAGGGAGACGGTCGAACACAGTCGTTTCACCTGTCGCCGCTCCCCGAACTCTCCCGCGGGCGCAATGGCCTCGGAGGACCTGAGCGTTGCCAAGTTGCGCAATGATAGCACCACGAAAATCATGTTGAATACAGATGAATACAGTATTTATTTCGAATTTGGGTAGTTAACCCCACTTATATTACAAAAATTGGTTTTATCGCCTTTGTTGTCCTGGTTGTTGGGTCTCTTATTTCTGTCTCAGTCTTGAAGTTCTTGAAATTGTTGAGGAGATGAACCAAGAAACCCGGCCCCTTGCAGATTCACAGTTGTCAAAGGACAACCTGCAGGCCATTAGTTGGGTTTGTCAAAAAACGAGGCAGACCACAACATAACCATTTTTATCTGAACGATGATGATAAACCAAAGGGTTTTGGGGTATTCTATGTTTTCAGACAGAACCATTTTGTGTTTGCATATGGCAAACAGCACTTAGAAGGGTTAGAAGGATGATCCAAGCAGATCTAAGACGTAAAGTAATCACTCTGAACCGAAACTCCGTGTAGGGTTTCATGCCCTGGTCTTTAACCTGGGTTCGAGCGTTGAGCTGCCTGAGCTGCCTGAGCTGCCTTACTATGCAGCGCAAGACACTTGACCTACAGAAACAAGAAATGGTCGTTTGGTTCTTCACTCTTTCCACTTGGGCGATCTGGAAAGGCCGGATTGAGGGCATCTTGTGACGAACTTCGGAGGCAAACGATTGCACGTCAGAAGCTGGAGGTTCGGCTGCTGGTGTGTGTTGGAATTGCATGGTGGGTGATCTGGAAACAGGGTGACGTTGATCAGGTCAGAAGCACATGATTTCCCTGAAACAAGGCAGAAACCAAGCAGCTGTTCAATTAGTTTACTCAATCAATTTATGTAAATATGTGGCAATTACCACTTCCCTTCACGGGCTCCACCCAGCATTTGACTGGTGGAATGCATTTGTAGATTCTGTCCCGTGAGAGACGGGACGGAGCACGTCCAAGGTTGCTATTGCTCTTATCATGGACTGCTGTTGGTGATTAATGTGGGTATATGTGGGTAAAACAATAATAAACCATCCCAAATGGGTGGTTTATTATTGTTTTAACCACATTCCATAAATTAGATCCTTTGTATCTCAGGGACTTGGAATGTGGGATACCCTGACAGACTGACTTTGAAGGCGAAACTGACGGCTTTGGAAAGTCAACGAAACACGGATTCCACAGAGGTGGAAAAGGACTCTGCGCAGGGTTCTGGAGTTGAACATGGGTGACATCATCATATGGGCGATGTATGAAAGGCTCGTTGGTTCCTTTGATAGCTCCATTTTGCCGAAGGTTTTGTGAAGATTCAGCAGTCGGGTGCTGCAGGATGGAGTGAGAGTTTTGCTGCAAGACCTGTCAGCTCAGACATCTGCCAATGCAAAGATGGAGGTGCGAAACAGCGTCAGCGACGGCGACATGGCGACATGATGTGACATGATGCGACATGATGCGACATGGGCAAACATTGTTCACTGTTTCGAACACTGGAGATGTTTCTAGCTTACGAGTTTCAAGGTTTCAGATTGTTGACTGCGTAGTTGACTCGTTGACGACAAATCTCAATGTCTCTTAACTCTTGACCCAAACGGATTCTTACGGGGGGAATCCGGATTTCTTTTGTCTCGACTGATCGCAAGCATGTTTCGTATTATTTGGCCACGTTTCGAGTGCAGGAGCAAATCTTAAAGGCGCTGGATGACCTGAACGTCTTGCCGTGTGCAAATGAAGCGCTGGAGGCGGGATCGGAGGCAGACTCGAAGGTCTGCAGTTTGAAAAAAATTGAAAGTGCTTTTCCAATAGTCATGTCAGTCCTTTGAGTTAGTTTGATCTCTGAAGCCATTGGATGTTTGCTGCTCATTCACTAGTAAATTGCCATGACTTTTGGCATCGGCCTTGAATTTGAAGCATTCGGACGTTGCTGTGATTCAGGAGCACAAAGGTGGCGCTGTTGGGCGGCCCAGGATCAGTTTTCCCACTTTGATCCCATCCTACAGGGGTTGGTTTGCCTGTCCCATTTTGGGTATATTGGACATCACCTAAAAAAGGAGCCATGGCATAGACCATATACCGATCATGGTTGGGTGATGTGACCCATGGGGACATCAGTCATGACCCATGTTGCGTGCGGGCCGTTTGTGAAGCTGTTTGTGAAGGGTCCCAACAGGTAAAGGTTAAAAATAAGGCCAGGTTCTTCCCGACGACTAACGTTGTGTTTTCACTGTACTTCCTGCAGAAACGGGGAAGTCAAATGAGCGGAAACGGATGAGGCATATGGATACAAACTGGTATAGTATAGAACAAACTAAGACAATAATGGCAATCATGATAATAACAATACATAACAATACTATGTGAGGCCCAGGTATTTTCAGTGATTCATGGGTTTTCGACATTTTGATACAGGCGTTTGGTCGGTGTCACAAGATGAATGGTTTTTTTTCATCGTGACTAGAGATGTGGCCAAATTTTGGGGAATACCATCCCACTTCAACCAGACATAACCAGACGCATTCCGAGGGCCATCTTTCAAGTCATTGACACAAATTGACACATGATCAGTGCACGATTTGTGATGCCAATGGTACGATTGGTACGCTTCAGGCAGCTAACCCAAAAGCCTGGTGCTTGGAATGGGCAAAGGGAAGGGCAAACGGCTACCTGCAACAGGTCAAGGTGCTGTAAGCCCATATGGCAGTGTGTCAAAACCTTGTACCCCTGGTGAACATCAAAATAGCTGGTAAATGGATGTTCATCCCTCTAAAAATGGTATTAATAGGTATTGATCCATACCCATATTTTCAACATTTTTCAACCATCAGACCGAAAAAAACCTGATTTTGTGGATCGAATCTGCATCACTCTGCACCCAGGCCCGGTATGACTTGACAGATCCACAGGCGTTGGCGCGATTTCTTCAAGACTCTGACGTTCGTTTGGTCCGTGCGAAGTGCGGTCCCCAGGCGCCATGCAGAACTTCCACAATCCAAGACACCGGTGTTGGTCGAGTCCCTGTTTGAAGCAAGACGCGATGTTTGGACGCTTACTTAATCTTATAATTATTGTTTGCCAGTAAGATAACACAAAAAACCTAGGATCAGTAATTAGCCGTAGTTCGTAGACTACTTTCCAAACAGAGAGTCATACTGGAACTGGCGATGACACGAGGTACATTGAGTTGGCTCGTTCCAAGCGGCCACTCCCCAGACGCCAAGAAGCCCAGTCGCAGTTCACTTGTGATGGCAAGACTCAAAGAGCACCGGTGAGTCATGATGAGATACGAAGCTGGGCCGCGGGAACTGAGAATGCCATCATATGCTCGATTTATCTCGATTTCGCATGCATGGGAGACAAGGGAGCATCCCGATCCATGCCGATATCAGCTGCAGCAGATTGTGGAGTGGGCAGTGTTGTATGAAGCTGCATTTCGAGCAGATGTCTGGATATTCTACGACTACGTGTCCTTATTCCAATATGAAAGAGATCCGAAGTCTGAGCAAAGAAGCTTCGACGAGGCCATGGCCAATATGCACATTCTCTATGCACATGAGTTCAGCCTGACGTTTCGAATTGAAACACTCACTCCAGACGAGGTCTGGGAAGCAATGAAGGAAAATGAGCAAGAATTGGTGACCGTTTGGGATGACGAGAGTAAGAGCCTCAAAGCAAAGCCTCTGAATAAACTGATGCACAACCGAGTCTTTTATTTGGAAAGAGGTTGGTGCAAAGCCGAAGTCGAATGGTCCTCGCTGAGGACCGTGAATGCGCAGCACCAGCGCATCGACGGCCGTGATTCAAAGGGAAGCGACGGTGATGCTTTCAATGGTCGGGTGCCGATGACACCGCAGGCATTCCAAGAAAGCATGAACCAGGCAGAGTTCACCCACCGGTCTGACAAGGACGCCGTCATCCACCTCCAAGAGAAGATTTTTTTTGAAAAGGTCACGTCCTGTGAAACCTTGGTCTTGGAAGGCCTTCCAGCCACCCAGATTGAGGCCTTAGCCCGAGCAATGCCTCTGTATGAAAACTTGAAACATCTCAAGATCAACAAGTTCAGCTGCGGCGAAGGAGAAGCTCAGCTCTTTGCCGAGGCAGGCGCCATTCGTGTGATTTGTGGAGTTTCTTGTCACATCAAAAGACAGAATCTTCGAAGGCACTCGCGAAGACAACGGTGCTGGAGAAGTTTGAAGTCCACAACGGCGAAGAAGAAAGCGGCAAACACCTGGTCAAGGCCATGTCCCGAAAAAATCAAAAGGATCAACATGGATCAACTAAGCAAGTTCGGGAAGGCCTGGGCAGATATTCCCATGCAAAGAGCATAGAAATGCAACGATTAGTTTTTTTTTTAGAAGCATCCACTGTCGCCTTGGGAAATCTTCTTGAGGTGATTCTCTTGGAAATGATGGAGCAAAATAAGCTCAACACGTTTCAATTTATTCTGCCGACGAACGGAAGACTTTCGATATTTCAGAATCTGGCTTATCTCATGCCTCCAGAGCGTTGGCGATTGCAAGACACTTTTTCCATCTTTTTCCAACAATACTGGTTGGTTTTCTTTGGCTGGTCAGTGCCATGTTCAATCTAGACTCTAGACCCTTGATCTCGCTATCACTGCCAGGCGTTGGCTGAGGCTTTGAAGGTCAACAGTTCCATTGCAAACATCGGCTTGGCAGCCAACAGCATTGGCGATGAAGGTGCCAAGGCCTGGCGTTGGGCTTCGGTGCTGAAAATTTGCCAACATGCAAAACAGCTAAGAAAATGCCCGGACTTCGGCGTCTCCTACGGGGTTTTTGGGGCGCCCAAATCGTAGCATGGTGCAATTTGCAAGTCGCTGGACCAGCGGCTGCTTCAGGGTCCTGGCCCATGCTTTCGCGGTGGATGGTGATGATTACCCGCCTCTCTTATTCGCAGCCCCGATTTACTCATCATCGGTGGATTCAGGGTCCCCCCCTCCAAAAAGCGTTCCCAAATCCTTGTATGGCCCCTTCTTCTATACATTTTCCGGCTGGAGACAGTGTGCATTCCTGGCTTTGACTAGGGTGGGAGAAAGGGACCTGGAGCTCTACTTCATGATTGCCACCACCAATGGAATACGCAATACAAAAAAGTGAGCCAATCCTTTTGTCTTGCATCTTGCAAGGTTTCTCTTTTCACTTGTATCCTATGTATTGAGGAGGGTTGAATGGTAGGTCCCATGGCAAGTCTAAGGCTGCCAGGGTTCCAGCTCCCGTAAGTGCCCAGGAGGTCCGACATGTGCCGAAGAACCTTTCTGACCAAACCTCTACGTTCTTTTTGCAAACAGAAGCTGAATGACATCGTGGGCTTTTCTGTTTTGACACATTAGCTTTGGTCGGGTGGAGATTCGCCAGTCTCATGTGTTTGATGAAAACGAAACTTTTCAGAATCAGGTTTTTATTTTTGTTAAATCTAGACGCCAGCTTTCATATGGCTGTGGCTTTTGCCAGGCGTTGGCTGCGGCTTTGAAGGTCAACAGCTCCATTGTAAACCTCGACTTGAAGCACAACAGAATTGGCAAGAAAGGGGCCAAGGCCTGGCAGTGGGCTCCGAGGCTGCATGCAGCATTATGCCATGCGTCTGAGGATGAAAATTGGAGGGGTTTTCACTTGATCAGTCATCCCTCTTGGAGAGAGGGGGTGGAAATGGGTGGAATATGTTGAAGGGCTGAATAACATCTCGGGTTCTCGGTTTTGACATCTGTTTCGATTCTCTGAGGGGGATTCCCCCAGATCCAGTCTCAGGTGTCCAAGCTTGGTTGAATCTTGATGGCCTTCGCTGTTGCTTTTGCCAGGCGTTGGCCGAGGTTTTAAAGGTCAACAGCTCAATTACCAACATCAACTTGGAGCACAACAACATCAGTGCTGAAGGTGCCAAGGCCTGGCGTGTTTGGTTCGGAGGCTGCACGTTGCATGATGCCAAGTCTCTGACAGTTGTGAAAAGTTGAACGGTTTTGAGAGGTTTTGACAATCTGAATGACATTATCATTGTTTGTTTTGTTTGAACATATTGGAGCCTATGGGTGGGAACCGTACCAAAATTGCTATATCTTAGTTATATCTTTGGCTTCTGCATGCAGCGGGGTGGCGTGGGGTGGCGTGGGGTGGCGTGGGGTGGGGTGGGTTGGGGTGCAATTGTGCTTCTTGGCATTGCGCAGGAATCCTGCGCCAAGGCACTTACTTGCTGTTGCGCTGAATTAATCTTTCAAAGACGCGGGCTTAGTCACGGGATGGTGGATGGGGCATTGGCGTTCATAAGTTGCACACGCCATGCATGCGACGCTAAAGCATTATGGGGTCGGGTGCAGCATTCATGGTGTCTTGCACACGCACTGCATGCTACGCCAGAGATGTCTTGAGCTACGTCCTCTTTATGGACGGAGCTCAGTGTTCCAAGAAATTGCCCAGCAGCTGAAAAGCCAACGCTACCGATGCGATAATTCAAAGGACCGGTTTGTCATCTACAAGACAGGCTACTGTGGGCAAGTGGCTATATCTAATCTATCTAGACAGGAACAACCGAAAAAAACAATTGAGCACTCCATAGAAGTTTGGCTTCCAGATGAGGCAGCACACGGAACCCCTGTATTGACAAGTCGTCCCTGAAGTGAATAATGGCGGCAGCAAACAGGTAAGGACAAAACTCCTAGGAGCACCTGAGGCTGCGGATGAACATCAACCAATCCTTTAGAAATGATGGACATTATGGTATGGCTTGGTATGGTATCTTTGAAGCTGAAGGGAAAGTGTGGAAAATCACATGTTGCACCGCTAACATGGCTGTTGTGGTTCGATTTCTGGATGTTTGATGCCCGCCTTGATCTGAATGTTCCAGGCCGTGGCCGAGGCATTGAAGGTCAATGCATCCATTGCAAACATCAACTTGGAGCACAATTACATAGGTGACGCAGGTGCAAAGGCCTGGCGTGTACTGGGTGAGGGGCGACAGATTCTCTGACAGATCCATTAGTCACAGCCAAGCCTCTTGTGACGGGAGATACGTCTGGACCCTTCAAGCGTGGTTGATTCTTGGTGCCCATCTTGATTTGGCTGCGCTAGGCCTTGGCCGAGGCTTTGAAGGTCAACAGCTCCATTGCCGACATCAAGTTGGACAACAACAGCATATACGGGGAAGGTGCCAAGGCCTGGCATTTGTTGGTCTCCTTGCATACTGCATGAGGCCATGCCTATAATACAAATTCGGAGCTGCTTAGTTTCATCATGTTTCATCAGATAGCTTGCTGAAGATTTTCAGGATGAAAGTGAAGGTCTTGACCCCTCAAAGCTGGTTGATTCTGTCACTTCTGCCAGGCCTTGGCCGAGGCTTTGAAGGTCAATGCATCCATTGTAAACATCAACTTGAAGCTGAACGAAATTGGTGAGGAAGGCGCAAAGGCCTGGCATACTGTGGCAGTGGTTGCATATTCTGCATAATCTGAAACCAAATGGGTGGTTCAAACCAGGTGAGGGCCTCTATGTTTTTACAATACGTCCCGCCTCCTTCATCTACACCGCCACTTGATATAGAATGTCAGAATCTTTGGATCATATATGTGAGATAAAATTGCGGAATGTAGTCGCATAGAATGTCTGAGCTTATGGCAGAAACATGTGTCAGATAGAATAACAGACAAAATGCCAAATAGAATGTCAGAACATCGTCAGAATGATGTCAGATAGGATGCTTGAGAAATGCCAGATAGAATGCCAGAAGGAGAATGCCAGATAGAATGTCAGATAGAATTCCTGACAGACTGTCAGAATGCAAAATAAACCGTCAGATAGAATGTCACATAAGCTGCCAGACTATTTGTCAGACAGGATTCCAGGATGTAAGATAGAGAATATGTCAGAATGAATGTCAGATAGACTGTGAAGTAATGGGATCATCGGGATCACCTGAAGAAAGTAACTTCCATGGATTTTTTTCCTCCACAGCCAGTCTCAGTCTCAGCTGAGCCTCATCCTTTCTGACGGCGCCTGGCAGCCGCTTCTGCCAGGCACTGGCTGAGGCTTTGAAGGTCAACAGCTGCATCACAAGCATTAGTTTTAAGTACGGCGACATCCGTGATGAAGGTGCCAAGGCCTGCCGTGTGGGCTGGGAGGCATGCTGCGTCATGCCATGGCACTGAGAGGTTTCTGAGGTGCTTTCGAGAAAATGACGGGCATTCTTGGGTTTCTCTTTCTTGTTTTTTTCCTCGGGGTTCACGAGTCTCAGCTGGGCCTCATCTTTTGTGAAGACGATTTCAGAAGGTTCACAAATCTATCTAAATATAAGATTATTTAAGGTTTTTACCATTCAAAGGTTCTTAAGTCTAGATGCTAACCTTGATCTGGCTGTTGCTTCTGCCAGGCGTTGGCCGAGGCTTTAAAGGTCAACACCTCCATTGTAAACCTCGGCTTGCAGGGCAATGGCATCAGTGATGAAGGTGCCAAGGCCTGCTGGGAGGCATGCTGCGTCATGCCATGGCACTGAGAGGTTTCTGAGGTGCTTTCGAGAAAATGACGGGCATTCTTGGGTTTCTCTTTCTTGTTTTTTTCCTCGGGGTTCACGAGTCTCAGCTGGGCCTCATCTTTTGTGAAGACGATTTCAGAAGGTTCACAAATCTATCTAAATATAAGATTATTTAAGGTTTTTACCATTCAAAGGTTCTTAAGTCTAGATGCTAACCTTGATCTGGCTGTTGCTTCTGCCAGGCGTTGGCCGAGGCTTTAAAGGTCAACACCTCCATTGTAAACCTCGGCTTGCAGGGCAATGGCATCAGTGATGAAGGTGCCAAGGCCTGCTGGGAGGCATGCTGCGTCATGCCATGGCACTGAGAGGTTTCTGAGGTGCTTTCGAGAAAATGACGGGCATTCTTGGGTTTCTCTTTCTTGTTTTTTTCCTCGGGGTTCACGAGTCTCAGCTGGGCCTCATCTTTTGTGAAGACGATTTCAGAAGGTTCACAAATCTATCTAAATATAAGATTATTTAAGGTTTTTACCATTCAAAGGTTCTTAAGTCTAGATGCTAACCTTGATCTGGCTGTTGCTTCTGCCAGGCGTTGGCCGAGGCTTTAAAGGTCAACACCTCCATTGTAAACCTCGGCTTGCAGGGCAATGGCATCAGTGATGAAGGTGCCAAGGCCTGGCGTGGGAGGATTTTGTCTACTGGGTGTTCCCTCCTGGATCAGTAGCTGTTTATTACTTGGAGGCCATTGGATTCATTGTGCCGCGACATTCGCGGGTCTGTTGTTTGCTGGTTCTGTTCAAAATGCAGCTTGTGGCGAAAAACAGGATATATCACTTGATAGGGTTCAAAGAGGCGAAAATTGGCAGGGCAAATGGCTACCTGGTCAAACACGTGTTCGATTCGCTGTGAGGCTTTAATTGGAGTTGCAAGGAAGAAACGACAAAACGGGACAAAACGATAGCAAGAACATTGGAAGGACTTGAGCACATGACCCATTGGTGTCATGTGTTTGGTTAGCTGCTGCAATTGGAAGAAGTTGGATTGTGCAGTTGTATTGGTCGAATTCCACTTGGGCATGTAGATGATGCGTCTTGAAAGCACACCGTGGCGTCGTTTTCAAGGTCCTTTGGCATTGCCTGTGTTTCTGGTAGACAAGAAATGACAAGAACAGAAGACCAAAATTGACGCATGCGCTTTGCCTGTCCATGTCCGTGGGTTTGTCATGCTGTTTTGAAGTGTTTGTCTTGAACATTTGTGCTTCCAAAAGTTATTGGCCAAGGGCCCAAAGCAAATCTGACAAACTGGCAGGATGTCATTGACGAACAGCACATTTCATGCAGAGGACCCTTCGGAGTCCCAATCCGTCTCAAGGCAGATCTTGCAAGAGGATAGGAGCGGTAACACATGTAAATCCGCCGAAAGAACCCTTAGCTTTCTTCATCAAACAGCTGCACCGAACTCGTGTTTCTGTGTGGTGTCTTCGCAGGTCCTGCTTTTCTGAGCTGTTTATTTCTCAAATCTTTGTTGCGCATTGAGAAGCTGAAATCAACTCGTTGACTTCTCTGTTTTGTCAATGTCTCCGAGACTCACCAGTCTGAGCTGGGAATAGTCTGATGTCCTTGGTCACTTCAGGCGTTGGCAGAGGCATTGAAGGTCAACAGCTCCGTCGCAAACATCGACTTGAGGTTCAACCGCATTGGTGATGAAGGGGCCAAGGCCTGTTCTGCTCCATGGCTTCAGAGAAATCCAACATCACACCTCGAAATCAGGAGAGATGCCAACAGAACATATGCTTTTGTTTTCTGTTGGAAGGTGCTCTGCCCTCACCCCAATGTTCCCCTTCCTGCCCCATTTTTGCGCATAAAGAAAAAGGTACTATATACCTGTTGCACATATTCGCTGTATCTGTTTGAGCTTTTTCCAAGCCTTGAACTAAAAACTTTATCGAACTGTAAAACACGTCTTAAACACATTGAATCAACCAAACCAACACCAACGCCAAATAAATCCTAAACCGATAGCTTTAAACCAACTTTAGATAGAACCCTAAACCAACGCTAAATCGACCCGACACCAACCCGAAAGACACCCTAAACCACCCCTAAATAAACCCCAAACCAACCGTAAAACAGTGGGGAAGTAATACGGGGAGAGTCATTTTGTTGGATCTCTATACAAGGGACTTTGATAGTAACTGACTGGACCTCTATACTGTTGGATCCTTCAAGGAATTCGCAGACAACTTGTAGAATCCTGCGGACCTCGCCGAACCGTAAACTAACTCTCAAAACATTGAGCCAATCCTAAGGACCTTAAACCAACCCTCAAAAAACCCTAAGCGAACCTTAAAGACAGACCCTAGACCAACCTTAAACCACAACCCTAAATAGAACCTTAAACCAACCCTAATTGAAGCTTAAGCCACCCTAAATTGAACCCTAAACCAACCCCAACAACCCTAAAGAAACTTTAAATAAAACTTCACTGCAATACATGCCAGCCCACCTGAAATAAACCGTTCGAACACCAAAATGCTGCAAATACTGTCGAGATGACAGCTATTGAACTCGAAAATATTGCAAACACGAGTAGCAAGGAAAACGAAGACAACAAGAAGTCCAAAAAACAAAAAGTAAAAACGACGGATACAATCCAAATCAATCCAAACAATTCTGGACCCTTCCAGATATATCAGGCTTTGACCCATCAAGGTGGTTCAAATCTAGATAGACACCAGCCTTGATCTGGCTGTCGCGCCAGGCGTTTGCCGAGGCTTTGAAGGTCAACACCTCCATTGTAAACATGAACTTGGTCCAAAATGGCATTGGTGAGGAAGGGGCTAAGGCATGGCGTTTGTTGGCTTCTGTGGCTGCATGTGGGACCATGTCGCACCGTGCCAATTTTTTCCATGTCCGAGGGGGGTGGTTGAATATTTTGGAGAAACTAAATGACATCGTCGACTTCTTTTCTTCGTCGAAATCTTGTTTCCGCGAACAATTCGTTTGCCTCAGCAGTGTTTCATCATTCATGAAAACACATGAAGCCGATTTGAACAACATCAGACATAGCAGGCCCCTCAAGGGATCTAAATACCAGCCTTGATCTTGCTGTGGCTTCTGCCAGGCGTTGGCCGAGGCTTTGAAGGTCAACACCTGCATTGAAAACATAAATTTGGAGATGAACAGCATTCGCAAGGAAGGTGCCAAGGCCTAGCGGCGTAGTGTGTGTTGGGCTGGCCGCATCATGGCATGCCCATGAGTCTTCGAATTTCAGAGCCACGTTTCATTCTTTGTCCCTGTTGGAGGGGAGTTGTTGAATATTTTGAAAAAGATGAATAAAACCGACTCGTCGACTTGAATTGTTTGATGAAGTTATGTTTTGTGAGGGATTCATTTGTCTTACCTTGGTGTGACCTTTCATGACCACAATTCCATACAATTCCAGGATATTTGAGATGCATCCAGGGTGTTAAAATCAACCACAACCATTCAGCAACCGTGCGTTTTCTCGATGCTTAAAATCGCGCTGACCGGAACCGGATGGTCCCCTATGACCCTGATGAATTTCATGGCTGCTTCATGATGCTTCATGTATTTTCACTGTCCATATTGGGCACAAAGTTCTGGTGCCTGCGGCCGACCGGTTTACCACTTTCTTCTTTATCTTTACCTGTGAGAAAGTGTCGTTTCGCGTACTTTTCAGCCTGTTGTTTTCCTGCTGCTAGGCTTTTGCGGAAGCTTTGAAGAACAGCAGATCTGTCAGGAAAGTCGACTTGATGGACAATGGCATTGGTCCCGAGGGAGCAAAGGCCTGGCATGTCCTGTATGGTCAACTATGTTCCAGGTTTGGCCAAAGCCTATCTTGGGTACGGGTCAAAACTGATCAGCATTTGACGCGCCCAAATTGTGCTGGCGTGTCCAAGGCTGTGGCTTTGAATTGCTTCTAGTGTTTTCGGCACACGTTCAAGAACATATAGGACATCAGAAGATACCCATACAGATTAGCTGGACATTTTCAGCTCACCTCCTTGTCTCAAGGTTCTGATTTTTGTTAGTGCGGATGGGGCTAATTTGAAACTGTGCTTTCTCCATCCTACGCGTTGGCCTACGGACAGGCCATTGCCGAAGCTTTGAAGACAAACGCATCTGTGAGGGAAATCAACTTGACGAGCAACGGAATGGGTCCCGAGGGAGCCAAGGCCTGTGCTGGTCATCTATGCACTATTTCAGGGGCCGAAACCTATCTTGGATATGCGTCAAATCATCAAATCTGATCAAAAGGTAGAGGACAAGTAGTATTATCCAAAATAATGCCAGAGATGTGGGTGGATTTATTAATCTTACCTTGACATTGTGCATGAAAAATGACCAAAACTTGACGCGCCCAAATTGTGCCGGCATGTCCTGCGCTGCGGCTTTAAATTGCCTCTAGTGTTTTCGGCGCACGTTCAAGGACATAGCGGACAAACCGGCTATTGAGATTGGGCGGACATTTTCGATTGACCTCCTTGTCTCAGGGTCTTGAAGGTTTTTGACAGTGCACACAGGACCAATTGGAAACTGTGCTTTCTTTCTCCATCCTGCAATGTGTCAGCCTCTTTTCTGCTGACAGGCCGTTGCTGAAGCCTTGAAGACAAACGCATCTGTGACGAAAATAAGCTTGTGTTGCAATGGAATTGGTTTTGAAGGAGCCAAGGCCCGGACTGGGCTTCAAGTTGGGTCATGCTTTCGACCAATTTTCGACAGTGTTTCAGCACGTTTCAGCTTTCCGAAAGGAACTGTGAAGGGTTCCTTCCAAAGAGCGGCTGCAAATATACATGGTCAAAGTGCACCACCACCACCACCACCATCATCACCACCAGCACCAGCATCAGCATCAGCATCAACCTCAACCTGCCTCCAACATCAACAACAACACATCTAGATACATCTAATATGCAGGCGTGTGCTTGCAGTAGTAAAGGACACCTTCCACTTTATAAATGCAGGCGTGTAGATGCAGTCTTCAAAACACCTACAGCTTGATGATATAATATATACGTATATATATATATATACATACAGGTGTATACATGCAGATTGTATAGATATTCTTGAAAACCCACACAAAGAACTGTAGACGTGCAGGTGCATAGATCTAGAAAACACCTAAACATCCTAAACATATAAGCTCTTTTAAACTTCCTCCTGTTAGTAGCGTCAGCGCAGTTGATCGACGCATAGGAAACGCATGCCCATCGTCCATTAAAATGAAGTGTAGAATTACGATTTTCTGTAGCATCGGTGCAGAAAAACTGAGTGTAAATGTAGAACAGATTATCTGTCTAAAAGCTTCTGTGTGCAAAAGCTCTCTGCGTGTAAGAGCAATTTTGTGTGAAAGCTTCTGTTTAAAAGCTTCTGTGCGCGAAGGCACCTCTATGTAAAAGCTTCTGTGGGTAAAAACACTGTGTCTGTCTGCGTGGAGAAGCTTCGCGTGTAAGAACATCTGGGTGTCTGGTGTAAAGCTTTTGCGCGTAAAAAACTTGTGTGCGCAAAATCGCTTCTGTGTCACTGTGTGCACAAGCACTTGTGAGTACAAACACGTGTGCGCAAAAGAGTCTGTCTGTGCAAAAGAAATGGGGAGTAAAAAGTTGTTCGTAAAAGCATTTGTGTGTACAGGCAGCTGTGCATGAACAAATTTTGTTCGAATTAATTTTGAATATGATAGCACCCCTGTGGAAGACTTTGTGTGTAAGCATTTCTGTGCGCAGCAACTCCCATGTGGAATCACGCTTTTTCTGTGCGTAAAAACATTTGTGTGTAACGACCCAAATGCGCCAGTGTGTAGATGTGGTGTGTAGACCCCATGTGTCAAAGCGTTTCTGTGTACAAACATCTGTGTGCAGTTTGCAACAGTTCCTATGCAAAAACATCCCGGCGGACCTGGCACCGGCCCATGATTGTCCAAAAATTGTTGTTTCGCTGTGGCGCCAGCGCGATTTCATGTGGCAAACGACCATCAAAAAAAACATCCGCTTTACTGTGGTTTGCAACCCTTACAGGGTTTTGTGCCGCAAAACCCGACGAACGAACAAAGTGGCCTTTTCTCTTCACCGCATTAGAGATCTTATAGCTTCGCCAGTTGCGGTCAGCAAGTCGAAACCAGTGTGTTCCCATCTCCATTGTTGACTTCGAATGTACTTGAACAACAAACCATTGCGTTTGCCTTGGACTTGGGAACGAATGATATCACACCCCACCCCACCCCACCCCACCCCATGCGTAGCGTCGCATCGCATCATGTCTTGCAGTACTGACGAATGATATCACAACCCACCCCACCCCACCCCATGCGTAGCGTAGCATCGCATCATGTCTTGCAGTACTGACGAATAATATCGCACCCCACCCCACCCCATGCGTAGCGTTGCATCGCATCATGTCTTGCAGTACTGACGAATAATATCACACCCAACCCCACCCCATGCGTAGCGTAGCATCGCATCATGTCTTGCAGTACTGACAAATGATATCACACCCAACCCCACCCCATGCGTAGCGTAGCATCGCATCATGTCTTGCAGTACTGACGAATGATATCACACCCAACCCCACCCCATGCGTAGCGTCGCATCGCATCATGTCTTGCAGTACTGACAAATGATATCACACCCCACCCCACCCCACCCCATGCGTAGCGTTGCATCGCATCATGTCTTGCAGTACTGACGAATAATATCACACCCCCCCACCCCATGCGTAGCGTAGCAGCGCATCATGTCTTGCAGTACTGACGAATAATATCACACCCAACCCCACCCCATGCGTAGCGTAGCATCGCATCATGTCTTGCAGTACTGACGAATGATATCGCACCCAACCCCACCCCATGCGTAGCGTAGCATCGCATCATGTCTTGCAGTACTGACAAATGATATCACACCCCACCCCACCCCACCCCATGCGTAGCGTAGCATCGCATCATGTCTTGCAGTACTGACGAATGATATCACACCCCACCCCACCCCACCCCATGCGTAGCGTAGCATCGCATCATGTCTTGCAGTACTGACAAATGATATCACACCCAACCCCACCCCATGCGTAGCGTAGCATCGCATCATGTCTTGCAGTACTGACGAATGATATCACACCCCCCCACCCCATGCGTAGCGTAGCATCGCATCATGTCTTGCAGTACTGACAAATGATATCACACCCCACCCCACCCCACCCCATGCGTAGCGTTGCATCGCATCATGTCTTGCAGTACTGACGAATGATATCACACCCCACCCCACCCCACCCTACCCCAATTTGTGGGCCGGTAAAAGGTCCGTCTGCAAAAACATATACTTTTTGGAACATCCGTGTGTAAAAGAGCCTGCGGATCGTAAACACTTTTTGTGTGGGCACTGCTGTGGAAAAACATCCGTGTGTTTTTAAGTTCGGTGTGGCCTCGTGTGTGAAAATGCTGTGGCTTTTTAACGTCTGTATATATTTTATGTTGCGTCTAAAAGACCATCTGATATTTAAAGCGTTTGCGTGTAAAAAAACCATTTGCAATGAATGTATATAGAAACTCTTGCGCCTAGAGGCACTTGTGTGTAAAAACATTTGCGCCTGAACACTTCTGTGCAATGTGTCAAGGCATCTGTAAAAGCTCTCTGTGCGTAGAGGCTTGTATGTGCAAAATCATCATCATCATCAACATCATCAACATCATCAACATCATCGACATCATCAACAACAACAACCTCAACAACCTCAACAACCTCAACAACCTCAACAACCTCAACAACCTCAACAACCTCAACAACCTCAACAACCTCAACAACCTCAACAACCTCAACAACCTCAACAACCTCAACAACCTCAACAACCTCAACAACAACAACAACAACAGCAACAACAACAACAACAACAGCAACAGCAACAGCAACAGCAACAGCAACAGCAACAGCAACAACAACAACAGCAACAGCAACAACAACAACAACAACAACAACGCCAACGCCAATGCCAACGCCAATGCCAACGCCAACGCCAACACCACCCCACCACCAGCACCAACAACAACAACAACAACCACAACAACAACAACAACAACAACAACACAATTTTTCATACATCTTTTATTTGAAGGAAACATTCGCGTGTTGGTTTCCCTTTGGAAGGAACGGTTTTCTTTCGGGCCACATTGTCGTTTAGTGAGTCTATTCATGAAACTGCCGTATTAAGGATTATCCTGTTCAAATCACGGACTCTAGTGCTGCGTCCTTCAGCCATTCAGCTCATGCTTTCCTCCAGTGACAGATGGGCTTCACGAGTTTGCAGAACCCCATAACCACGTCGCCCCCAAACACATAACATTATATAACTCTGTCAAAGCGTCTCCGAACAAAAGGGTATCCAAAGATGATGATCAAGGCCTAAACTCAAACAGTGTCAAGGCATTTGGATTGAGCCTCCAGAAAAGGTGGTGGTGGCAGGTGGTGACACCGTGTAAGCCAGGCCCTGGTGGAAGCCATGAGGATGAACACATCTGTGAACAAGATGGACTTGAGGATGAATGACATTGGTGAGGAGGGAGCCAAGGCATGGCCTGTCGCTAACCCAATTGGGTTTGTGGGGTAACCCTTTGTTTGTTTGCCAAGCACTTGAAAAAGGTAGGATTTCAACAGATTGCGGATGTGAGAACATCATTTTATACGTAGTATGCAACCTGCAAGAGATTTTTCTCCATTTCTCGCCTCTCTGGTTATTCCTATGGGCATCATTGCTGAGCTTGGGTAGTTTGAAGCAGGTTCCACTTATGGTTCTGGAGTGAACCGTGGTTTGTGGAATGCATTGCTTCTTTCGAGTCCTTTTTTCTCCATGTTTATTTCCTTCTTGCTTCGAGGATCCTCATGAAGTGCTTTAACGGCATCGATGTCGATAATATATGAATGTATATATATATATATGATGTGCATTTTGATCATCTTTGTCTTGGTTGACATATGATTTCGCCAGATTTTGATGCATTAAAGAGGGTGCCCCCTTCTGCGGCACCGTTTTCAACACCAGGCTCTGCAAGAAGTCGTGGAAGAGAAAGAGAAGAAGGGTCTAAAGCTCCAAATAGCATTATAGGGGTTTGTCTCAAAATTTGGAACCTCAAAATTCCAGATCTTATCGTTTTTTTCTGATGAATGGAGTCATTTTCACCATGTTCTTATCATGGCCTGTTGGGGGGGAAATCCTAAAATTTGAGATAAATCAATGGAGGCACCGACATGGCTCTTCAGCCCTCGAGGGCTTTTTTCGCAGGATGAGATGACAGAATTGGAACATCTGTGGGAGAAAGGGGGCAACCATCCATTTTTGGCAAATGTCGGAATTGCGATGTGAGGAGTATATATTGCTTTTGTCCAGACTTGGATGATCATTGGAACACATATACTACCTTAATGATTGGACCATGATTTGAAGATCCAAGATGATAGTGCTTCCAAGTGAAGCCCTAGAATGGCTGAAACAACACACAAGCCATGCATGCATCATCGTTAACTAACCGTTAACTAACTATGTTCAACCATTATGAATGAATTATGAACTAGGATGAACCATTATTAACCACTATATCAACATATATCGACTTTCCCATCATCTCTGCAAGCCGGCCAACGGCCATGCCGAACCAACCAACGGGGTCACTAGCGAGTTTTTGCTGAAGCAAGGGATTTCCATAGTCATGGGGGTATCCCAAAATAGATGGTTTCTAATGGAAAATCCTATGAACATGGATGATTCGGGGGTACCCCTATTTTAGGAAACCACCATATAGTACTTTGAGAGGCATCACGTGAAGACGCCGATGCACACAGAACTTTTCTATGTACATATTTTGGTGTCACTTGGACTGGATCAGAGGTGGAGTCCTTTTGAAGTCGATTCAAGATCTGATGCCGCGGAACATTTTGGGAAAATTCTCGGCACTGTCTCCTTCGGTTGATCTTGTGCGATTTCCTGACATTTCCAACTGTAGTTGGCACATGTTGGCACTTCACTCGGGATTTTTTTCATGAAATTGAGTGGTTTCCAAGCTTGTACTTCAGTTGCAGCATGATGCCCAAAAAGGATGACCCGAGAAATCCCGAGAAATCCCATGGAAATCCCATGATTTCATGAGCCTGCAGTGGAACTACAGCACTTCAGGTCAAATCCTCGGCATGGCACCATGCAAGTGCAAACAAGTCTGTGTCGAACACTTGCAGACTCCAAATCCGTACAGCAAAACTATGAAACATCGAATTTGGGGTGTGGGTTTTGTGTTAATCCCATTTTATCCCATGTCTGGACATCCCCAAACTATGCCTTGGAAAAAAGTATGCTTTGGAGATCAACGCAATGAACTCCATAAAGCTCCCGTGTTCAATCCATGGCGGGACCCTCACCAAGAGCTCTGGAGGTACCGCCTTCAACGGTGACTTGTTGATTTTTTGGGGCCGGGAAAGGATCATTGGTTGATCAGACTGGATCAGATTTGATCAGATAGGATGATGCCCCCAGAATGGAGCTGTGATATTTGTCTTCGTCCTCCAAAAGCAAAGAGGAGGGGGAAGCCAAGATGATCCTTACTGGTTTTGGTTTGACTGAAAAGATTGGTCCCACAAACCATTGGTTCTCACTACTCAACTAATAGATGATAAATGGGGTACCTAGGATATCCCGAGTTTCTTGGACATATCAATGCATGAAACTGTACGGCATGAACGATTTTGAGCCATGCTCACCTGGTTCCAGTCAATTCCCAACGTGGTTTTTTGCCTTAGCAACTTAGGTGATGTTGTGGTTTACTTTTGGCAAACAGACCAAACATAAGTAAGATTTCCATCCAGAAACTTTAACAAATCGGTGGATTTTAGGGGTTCATCACCCCTTTGGGGAGCCACTTGAAGCATCAATCGTTGTGAACTCATAGCCGTTTTGGATCGTTTTGGTGTTTTTTTTGGGTGGCTCTGAAACTTGTTGGCGTTCCCGCCATGGACATGCGTATAGAATCGATGAAGCAAAAAGCCGCTGGTTTCCTGATAACCTTGGTGAATCCACGCTTCGCGAACTTCAACAGGACTCCGCAGTTTCGATGGGTAGCTGTTCAAACAAAAAAGGTCCATAACTACTGGTTATTTTGGGCTACCAGGGGCTAACCAGATCTCGAATCTAACTTGGAAGTTCGGTTTCGATCGTCTCGCAATGGGCGTTGGTTTCCTGTCCAACTTGGCAGGTTTGCCCGGCTCAACAACTAGGAACCAGCCTGTTCAAACTTATTCATTCCTAATTCCAGATCCATTTTCGCAGGTTTCCTAGTCATGACTGGTAGTCATGTATTCGCTTTTGTGAGCCCCTGTCCAATTCAACCTATCTCAACCATCTCAGTCAGGCCCTTTTCTCTTTTCAATCTCTTGTTTCCTTCGTTTTTGAAGCTATTTTTTTGCATTCACTGAGTGGGTAATCTTTTTCAAGTCATCCCGGTATGTTTGTCTTTGTTCGCGTGTTGCATTTTTTCACTCTTTTTGAAGTGTGATATCTGTTTGTCATAGTATATTTGTTTCATTTTTTGATAAACCAGTATCTTCGACTAGGAATATTCTTCTGATGTCGATGGTTACCCTTCTTTTCTGTGATGAATTGTGGTGGTAAGAAGTTTCTGGTGATGGCGACATGTTGACATCCTCCCAAAAGGCACTCTGGGTCCAACTCCCGACGATAATGCGGGGAACCTGGCGCTTTAAGGAAAGTATCGCTGCCATCCGTTGGAAAAAGTCACGATGGAAATCAGAAATATCATTGGTACGACTTCTGTATCCAGTTTCTGTGCAGTGAAGGATTCCAACACACAAACACACGCGCATGTTTTGGGATCAAGTTTCTGCTTCTGAAAATTGAGTAAAAGAATAATGGAGAGAGAGAGAGAGAGAGAGAGAGGGAGAGAGAGAGAGAGACTTTGTCGCTCTTCGTCTGATGCATGATTAAATATTGGTATTCAAGAGCTTGGGAGCATAAGTGATTCGTGGATTGATGTTCCCTCAATCATTCTGAGGTGCTAAATGCTTCTGCGCCGACGGTAGAAACATGATGAAACATGTGCCGTGTGGTCGCATTTCGCAATCGCTGAAAAACATGCCAGAGCGCAGGATCCTTTGCGCCTGTTTGGCAAAGGCATTTGGGGTATGGATGATATGGTGACCCACAGTATTTCGCCGTTTCCTGAAAATGGATCAGCGCTGGGTGCTGGATTGGACAGGAGAGACGGAAAAACCCATGCACATCCTGGTAGAAAAGGAGACATGTTTTCACTGAAGACACTTTAGGACCCTTTAGGATACTTTAGATGTCTTCTAGTGGTGTAATTCGATTCAAGACATTGTTCCTTTCAAGACACCTGCACCTTTCGCCGCTTTGATCAAGGGAGTAGTGTCTTCGGTGGAGAGCCGGGTCGCTTCGTGGGACGTTTCCCACTTGTGCTCTTTGAACAGCACGAGCCAAAGCCATGGCACCAGCGCATTCCGCGCCTCTGCCTCAGAGAAGTGACTGTGAACTTTCAGCCGAGATGAGCACTCAGATGGACTTGTTAGCTCTTGATCCTGTGGTGAGCCATTATTTTCCTGATTTTGGGTCTATGGGAGACTGTAGACTGGCAGTTGAAGCTCCTTTGAACAGGTTGCACAGGGCATCGAAGGTGAACGGGCAGAATATGCCGACGCTTCTGGAGCAACTTGGCGCCAGTGCGACGAATTGGGTGTGACAGGAACTTGTTCTTTGAGGATGATGGAAGCAACTAGGAAAGTAGTGCAGCACATGCTTTGGAGACATGGGTTCTGGAACACAACACAAGTCATTTACGAAGAGGATTTTTTCTTGGGTACATTATCTCTCCAATGCCAACATGCAGTTTTGTTGCATCTTCTAGGTGGTTTTCCTTTCATGAGGGGACCCCTATGATCCATTGAAGTTTGCGGCTGGGACGTTTTTTACCCTGCCGGATCTTAGTAGATGGCCACATTTTTTTCCGCTCAGGAGTCGAGCCTTCCGAGGCAGGCATGGGACTTCACAAGTGACACCTGTCCTTGATGGAGTAGAAAAACGAACAACGTCGATCTAATTTTCCTGATGCTAGTTCTCTAAAGACAATCTGCATGCGGGGCTGCAATCGTACTGCAAGCTCAAGTCATCTAAGAAAACATCATTTCTGATTGTGCCAGGCACTCCACAGCGCAAGGTGGAGAAACAAATGATGCAGGTTAAAATCGACAAAGTGGTGGCCCCAGTGCTGATGTGCTGTTCGTATCACCGGTAGTGCCGGCAATGACCAAAGAACTCTGTGCCAGTGGCACCACCTAGGCCATGGGAATCTTGGGCACAGCCCTGCACTTGGTGGGTCATCAGTTCGACAGGATTCGAATGGATTCGACAACATCCAGTTGGGTACAGTAACTACCCCAAGGCGCAACAGGTTGGGATCCGATCATATTTGTTGCAAGGGATGATCATGGACCCAAGTTCTTCGGCAGATTTCCAAAAGGATCCGAAAGTCCAATCCCATCCAGATCCCATCCAGATCCATCTTGAACCCCGCGTCATAGTGGGATCTCTCACATCTCCAAGGACAGCCACCGCTTGCACCCCTTCTGCGCAGCAATCTCAGTCTGCGCATCACGTGGTGTTCGACATGTTTTCCCGCGGTCAAGCTGCGGTCCCGGAGTTTCGGACCCATCATGCTGCGGTCCTTGAGGTCAGTGCCTACTACGCAGGCCCGTGGTTTGGTACGCCCGGTGGCTCCTGGTGGTGCGTTGCAACACGCCAGGTGAGGCGCCGGAGGTCGTGGAAGCGCGGAAGACCTGGTTCGTCCCCGGTGCCCGAAGTGCCATCCCAGGTCACGAGGAGGGCCTTGTGCGGACTGGTGCAGGTCATGGAAGTTCCATGAAGAGTTTGGGTCATGGATCATCCCCAAAGATAGCTGGTACTGTAACTTTGCATATAGTTTTTTTCGACTACACCCAGCCACACCCAGTTGGCGTTGAGTAATGGTCATGGAAGTTCCATGGGTTTGGATCGTGGATCAACCCCCAAAATAGCTGGCGGTTGCATGTGGTAAGTTATGGATCTTAATCTTAATGTTCCAAGATATAAGATGGTATCAGCTTTCACAATAGGTTTTGGCCTGTAAAAGAATCCCCATGTAGGGTTGGTGGCTGTAATTTTTGGGCGAAAGTGACATGGCCGCAGGGACCTGTGATCTCAGTGGTTCTGATCTTCTGTCGTCTAAGTTTGATTTGGGATTTTGGCGAGCCCTTATTTTTCGATCTTGGGGAATCAACGAAAGGAACGAACAACGCCAAAACAGAATGGGAACCGGCAACATGTCTTCTTTTGGTGTTTGTTGAGATTCATGTCGGGTGCAGAGCCGCCATGCCGATGGCAGGATTGTTATTTCTTCAAGACCATCAAGATTCCATATGACAAGAGGTGCTCTTATCCCATGACCAACAGATCCGAAGGAAATCGCCGTACCACATAGCTTTGCAGATGTATAGATATTTAGGGATGCTCAGGAGTGTAAATTTGTTTCCGTAGGATTGAATTATAGACGAAGTGCGTATTGGCTAGCATTGGTCACATTTGTGTGAGATTGTTGGTAAACACATTCCAAGCATGCATGTTTGCACGTTTCTGTCGGACAAACTTTCAAAAGTTCGCCGTGCTGCCAGACAGCAACTGTTGGTCGTGGACATCTTTGAATGTGAGCCAACACCAAAGATGGATATCCCGGATGATCTCATCGGAAGGCCGGGTCTTGCCGATCTGTGTCACCGGTGTTTGGCAGACATTTTGGATTCTCTGATGAGTGGTACAGATATGATACCTCAATCAAGGTCTCTATAGATTCTGTCGTACACTGGGGATCCAAGATCCATGTTTCAGTTGCGATCGTCCTGATTCGCTTTTTGACGTCAGCTAAAAGTAGAACAGATTTTCTTCAAATAAGAGGAAACCAAAAACATGAGCACAACGAGATGATGCAATAATGCAATGATGACGATGACGACGACTGGAGTGCCTTGGACGCCAGGGCCACCATGCCACTGGCAGATCCACGACTGGAACAGCCAGCGGAGTGGCCATTGGCACGTGGCCCCTGGGAGTTCGTGGGCACGTCAGCGCCTTAGAAAACCAGAGCTTCGGCATGTTTCTGGATCACTGAATCGGTGCAAGTTTCTGCATGTTCCTGTTCCTTTGCGTTTCGTTTGTTGGAAGGGGGATCGTCACTGGCAGTGTGTAAGTTTGATTCTGTTTGATTTGTGTGTTGCTCTTGACGTCCAAACACCAAAGTGAACACATGCTGTCATTTGCTCCCCATTTCGAGATTTCAGACTCCAAGGGTCACTGTGAGCGTGGAATTTCCAGCTCCAGAGGCACGCTGCGCAGATGCACTTTGCTTCCATCATCTTGAAAGCGCAGTCACTAAATTGCAGTCACTCAAAATCGCGCACTTGGGATTGAGAACCCGATGGGATATTCTGGAGCTCCATGTTCTATGATGTTCTATGATTTGATAGCTAGTCGCAATGCAATCGAACCCGTGAAACCTGTCCTAGGACAAAGTCTGGCCCCTGCCAGACATCAGGGACTTTCCTGAACCGGTCTCCCCGCGTCACTGGGCCCTAAAGATTGTTGAATTCGAGGCTTTCAGGAAGCTGAAGCGCTCCGATTTGTTGAAATTGTTGAATGACAAGGGATGTGTAGGATTGTGTACTTAATTGTAGTTATATGATATATATATATGATTATATATGACATGCCTTTGTAGCTTGTGCATGCTTGTGCCATGTGCTTAGAATCTTAGAAGGTTTGACATTTTAGCGCCATAGAAATGTAGGGTAGTGGGGCAGGTCTACTGACTTCCGCAATCGACCGCCACATTTCCTTTGAGTTGGGAAAGGTATGAAAGGTGCTTTGAGCCTGGATCAGCCTGGAATTTTCTGGCACTCAACCCTTTTTTAAACATTTTTTCAGCGTTTGAGTCCTGGATTGGGTTATATCAGTTATATCGCATGAAGTTACACTTCCTTGCCGATTTTTGTCGTCGCGGGCTACAATCCATTCTGTAGCCAGTCAGGTAGGCTTTGCAGGTCGCAGCCAGTGCTGTTGCTGAGGCGACTTCACCCGATCCAAAGACAAAGGCAAAGGTCTCCTCTGCAGGGTTTGGACGGCTTTGGCGTTGATACCATTCAGCAAGTTACTCTTTATACGGATTTATATACGGATTTATACGTATACAAATCCAGAAGTCTTTCGGTGTTTCAAAAGCACGACCCTGAGATTTTGGACCATGTTGGACAACAGCCCCAGTACATCCCACCTGAACCGCAGTTTTTCCAAAGAATGAGGTGTTCCGTGAGTTTTTTGCATTTTGCACACCTTCGCCTTTGTGCCCGAAGGTGGAATTGATATGTCGCCGTTTGACCAACCTCGAACGGTTTCGACTTTGAAATCGAGTGGAGGAGGTGGGAGACGAAAACAGAGCAGGGATAACCATGTTATAACATGCCTACTTACACCCAAAAATCTTGCGTGCATCCACAACTGCAGCTCCTTACATGCACACATTCAGGTAGACATCCATGTGTCCATATATCAAGACATGCACTCGCATCCAAAAATATACGTATACCGTATATACATGAAGATACGCATGCAGACAAACCATGACAAACCATTACACAAACACACGCGCACACACACACACGCCTCTGCTAATCTACAGATGCGCAGGTGCCCACAGCTTGCAAAGTTCTGTACGAACTGTAGTTTGAACTGCACTTTTCCATGACTCATTTTCATTGCGTGTCTGACCTTGTATCAGAACTTCGGGGGTTATCTCAATCTGCCTGTGCCTGAAGGTGGTATTGATATGTCACCGTTTGACCAACCACGGTCACGATCAAATTAGAAGTCAAGTAGCGGTGGGAGACTAAGTTGGACATTCCAAACTTGGCATTTTAGGATGGGATAGAGGATAATGTGGTTGGAATCGAGGCTACCCGATTTTCAGACAGACTGGATGTGGATTGTGATGTATTGTGATTTTGATCGAAAAGACTGGCATGTCATGACTCACCATGAGATGAACCTTCCTTCAAGAATGGAGGGGCTGGAAAGTAAAGCGGCACTCTTAGGGATGACGTTCGTGTTGGTGTTTCTAGGGGAGAGAGAGAATTCGGATATGACAGTCAGCGGAAGCCCCCCAAAATATGCTAACATGCTGCTAAAGGTTTGTCTCAAAATGGAGGACCTCATAATCTTGCTCTGGATTTTCCCATGAAGAACGCAATTTCTTGGGAGTGCTTGTTGGGGGCGAGGACAATTTAGATGCTATCCCGCAAGCTTTTTGGAGCCAGAGAGAGGGCCATGGTATGCCACGGTTCTTCACAATCCTTTCTTCCAAGCTGTTCACGTGAAAGTGCACCAGCTATGTGGCTATGTGGTTTCAAAAGACAGCTGTAAAATCTTATGAGCGAAATGCTCGCATTATCTCGCATTACATTCTGCAACATGGGCTTCCAAGTTCTGTAGGCACAGGGGATTTGGATTCAACCCGAGCTTCAACCATGCGGCTGACCACACTGCTAGACCTGAGGCAGTTCCCCCACTCCCGTTTGGGTCCCGGTGCTGAACGGCCCTGGCGGTGGCCCCTTGGTCGAACTGAGAAGTCTATAGCTGCATCGCTGGTGCGTGACCACCATGACTTCAAAGCTGCATGGCGTTGCTCAAACCGAGGTTTCGGGTTGAACCCGAAGGTCGACAACATTTGGACCTTTGACTCTGGCTGTGGAGGCGTGGCAACTGCGTGCCAGTGAAGTTGCCTTCGGGTCTTTGTCGTGCACAACAGCAACCCAGCAGAACAGAAGGGACATCATCTTCAATCATTTAAATGGACAAACGGTGACAACTTGATTTGTTGTGTTCCCAAATGATTCACGAGGTTGACATCGTTTTGTGCCTGGCCAGGTCCTGTGAAAGGTGGGACAATGAGCCCCCTGCCCAGTTTCCCGCCCGAGTGGTTCACGGCGAAGTTGCCGCCGGGAACCCCCGCGCCTCGTCAGCTGCCGCCGACGGCCTTCCAGCCTCCCCCAGTGCCACCCGGGCTGATGGCCCAGATTCCGGTGCTGGCGACGGTGCCGCCCGCCGTTGCTGCAATGGTCGTGCAGGCCCTGCGGGCGCCGCCTCTGACCACGGCCACGATGCCAGCACCACCTGCGTCGGTGCTGCAAGCAGGGCCCTTGCCCTACTTGCCCAGCACACCAATGGCTCCTCCGTACTGTGGAGGCCATGCTGGGGATTCATGGTCAGAGGTGAAGTATGCCAGGTCCCTTTCGTACTTGCGTGTGAGCAGTTGCCAAGGTTACAGGAATAAGGTGGCAGAAGATTGCCTCGGGTATCCAGTAGGATCAATCCACAATAGCTTTGACAACTCATCAGTGATGTGGAGCATTGCACAAAGCTACCAGTAGCCTTTGATGTGAGCGGGGAGCCGGAAGCCGCATAGACATGACGGCAAATTGACATCCGGTACCAATGACAGGCGCTCCGAATCTGTCGGGATTTGTTGCCCCAATGGTGTGGAACCTGGTGCAGGTAGATACGAGGTAGATTGTACCTTTGCCGTGGCATTTGGTTTCGGACTTGTCAATGTTTGGAACCAAAACTAGAAAAACTGTGCCATGAAAGCTGAAGAAGAACACGGAGACAGACCTTAATTGTTTTTGTTTCAAAGATCATAAGATGTGACCATGCATGGACTAGAACACTCATCCATTTCCAGATTGACTCAGTCAACCTGAGGTCTTCCATGCTCCAGTGGCACGTGGCAGAAACATGTGCTGTGTGGCCCACTGAGCAAGGTGGGAGCCCAAAGAGCGATCATCTTGCTGAAGGGTGGCAGCAAGTCATCTATTGTTCGTTGATACTTGGCATCATCCTTTTCTTTTCAAGCGGTGTTTCCTTTTTGAGGCATTCATTCAATGGGTTCCCTCTTTCAGATTGTGCCTGTATCTTTGTCTTTGTTCGTACATGTCATATTTAGGTCCTTTTTTGTGGGAAGACCGGTACCTCAGATTAGGAATACTCTTACAGACTGATACACTGATACCGATGGTTACAGTACCACAGTTTTCTCTGATGAATTGTTGCGGTAGGAAGTTTCTGGTGATGGTGACATGTTGACATCCTCCCCACCGAAAGGCACTGACGGACGTGCAATTCTCGACGAAATGCGGGGAACCTTGACTAGAAAAAGTCCCGATGTAGAAACCTATCAGGAACACCATTGGTACGAGCTCTGCACCTAACTTTTGTGTAATGAAGGATGCTGACTAAACACCCCATTTTTTTGGATCCAGTTTCTGCTTACGCAAATTGACTAAGAAGAATAATGGAGGGAGAGAGAGAGAGAGAGACTTTGTCACCCTTCGTCTGATGCATGATTGAATCTTGGCATTCAAGAGCTTGAGAGCACAAGTGATTCCTGGATTGCCGTTCCCTCAATTATCCTGAGGTGCTAAATGCTTCTGTGGCCAACGGTAGAAACATGTGCCGTGTGGTCCCGCTTCGCAATCGTTGAAAAACATGCCAGAGCGCAGGATCTTTTACGCCTGTTTGGCAAAGGCATTTAGGGCATGGATGATATGGTGACCCGATGTGACCCACAGCATTTCGCCGTTTCCTAAAAATGGATCAGCAGTGGCTTGGACATGAGAAACAGGGAAAACTAAGCACATCCTGATAGAAAAGGAGACATGTTTTCACCGAAGACATTGGAAGTATCTTCAAGTGTGATTCGATTCAAGCAGTTGACTGGTCGACCGTGTGCACGGGCCATCTGCAGCTTCTGCCAGGGAGTAGTGAGAGGGTGACGTCCCGGTGGCAGCGCCATGGCACCTGCGCAGTCGCTGCCGAAAAGTGCAGATGGACTGCTTCTTTCAGACTATCGAGGTCTACGCAGAATTTCCATAGGGGGTCATGGACGTTCATCCATGTTCATCTCCCACGAGTTGTGGATATTCATCCCCCAAGAATCCCCAAGATATACAGTAAGTTATAAATTATTATATAAATATAGTTTTGATAAGTTTTGACCCATCGCCCATCGCCATGTAGGGTTGTTGGCAGTTCCTCAGAAAACGAGATGGCCTCTCTACAAAAACCTGTGATCTCCATGGTTCTGATCTGTCGTCTAAGTTTGATTTGGGATTTGGGCGAGCCCTTATTCTTCGATCTTGGGGAATCAATGAAAGGAACAACGCCAAAATAGAATGGCAACATATCTTCTTTTGGTGTTTTTTGAGATTCATGTCGGGTGCGGAGCCGCCATGCCGATGGCAGGATTGTTATTTCTTCAAGAGTCTTGAAGAAATAACAATCCTGCCATCGGCATGGCGGCTCCGCACCCGACATGAATCTCAAAAAGACCATCGAGATTCCGTATGACAAGAGCACCTCTGGTCATACGGAATCTCGAGGACCAACAAATTCGAGCGCAATCACTGTTTTTGTGGGGTTGAATTCTGGAAGAAGTGCGTATTGGCTAGCATTGGCCACTTTCTGTATATATCGGTAAACACATTCCAAGCATGCATATTTGTAGCTTTCTGTCGGAGATCTTCTTGGCGGTGCCAGACAGCAACTGTTGATGGTGGATATCTTCGAAGTTGAGCCGCTACATTCGAAGGTATCGAGCATCAGCAGTTGCTGTCTGCACCGCCAACTTTTCACAGCTCGGACGAGCTCATCGGGAGGCCGGGTGCTGATCTGTGTCACCGGTGGCTGCAACAAAAACATGGACAAGTTCTGATGAGTTGTGCAGGTATACCCGTACCTCACTCAAGTTTTCTATAGATCATTTCACGCACTGCGGATCCAAGATCCATATTTGAGTTGCGATCGTCCTGATTGTTTTTTTGTTTGACGATTTACACTCCAGATCCGGGCCATTACGGAACCGATCTCCGCAGTTGGAAGGGGAAGTAGAAGAGACATATCAACACCAACTGAAAACAGAACACATTGAAGCAGATGATGCCATGAATAGAACAAGGTAAAAAAGAAGGAAGATGATCATGGAGATGAAGATGGCGACGACCATGCCACTGGCAGATCCACGACTGGAACAGCCAGCGGAGCCATTGGCACGTGGCCCCTGGGAGTTCGTGGGCACGTCAACCTTACAGACGGCTCCAGCTGTGCCAATGCCTAGACAAATTCCGAAACAGTTGAAATTGTTTCGCAATTTTCGATAATTTTCCTATGGTTGATGTGGTTCCCCACCTGCCAGGTAAGGGTCTCTAGATATTAACACGACATCCCGGCTGACTCCTCATCCTCGCCAGCTTCGCCAGCCCAGATGTTGATGGATCTTGGACCAATCAGACTAAATCGGTGCAACTGTCGGCATATCCGTGGGAACCTTTCCGTGAAAACAAAAGTCTCATTTGCTCATGTTGGAAGGCTTGGGGCATGGCCACCGGCAGTGTATTATTTTGCTTTTTTGGTGCGATCTCCTTTCAGACGCCAAGCAGAGTGGACCCATGCTGTCTGACATTTCAGGCTCCAAGAGTCACCGTGAGAGAGGAATTTCCAGCTCCAGAGGCACGCAAAGTGCGGCTGCACTTTGCTGACATTTTTCAAAGTACAGTTGCGAAATTGCAACTTCCCGCACTTGGGATTGAAAACCCAATGTGATATTTTGGAGTTCCATTTTCCATGATCTGATAGCTCGCTCAAGGCTGTGGCCAATGGAACGAACGAAGCCTGTCCCAGGACAAGGTTTGGCCCTTGCCGGACACCAAAGATTTTCCTCCACTTTGAGACCGGTGCAGGAAAGTCCTTGATGTCCGGCGGCCAAACTTTGTCCTAGGACAGGCACTTTCCCCGCGTCACTGGGCTCAAGGGCTGTTGAATTCGAGGCTTTCGGGGAACTGAAGCGCTTCAATATGTTGAATAACAGCGATGCGGGACATGATTGCGTTTTTGCCTTTGTAGCTTGTGCAATGTGCTTAGAAGTACTCTGACGACATTTCACAGAGGCTGTGGAAGCATCCTGTACGGTAGTGGAGTCTAGTAGCTCCCCCCGGCATGCGATTGCTGAATTTCCTTTGCATTGGGGAAAGGTGCTTGTGCTTTTTGTCTGGAATATTCTCTGCTCAACCTTTTTTTGGAAGTTGCAATACGTTGAAGTCCAGGATGAGTTTGTAGGTTGCAATGCCGAAGGTTTGGACATCGCATGAGGTCAGACTTCTTTCCTCATTACTCATTTCCGTCTCGTGGGGTTATCCATCCATTCAGCCACTGCAGGTGCTGGGTGGTGGTCCCAACCCCTGGAGACCTTTGTCATCCCGTGGCTTGGGATGCGACATGGTCTGCTTCCCGAGAATTGATATGTCGCCATTTGACCAACCAAGAACCGTTTCGACTTCGAAATCCAGTGATGGAAGTGACGACCGGATATGGGATGGATTGCTGATTGCTTCTTAACTCGTCATGCCGGAGCTATTGGGAGGTCAAAGGAGCCTTGCCTTTCTCGAGGCGATCTGGGATGATCACTGAACGCTGCGACGAGGCATCACGATGTCAGAACGGTGAAATTTGATGGAACTTCTACATGGTTTCTACATGTTTCTACGTACGGCGAGGGCATGGATCGCATTACTGAGAAAAAAGGAAGCAATGAAACCAAAGCTGTTGGTTGACGTGCTGGCAGCTGTGGTTGTCTCAGTTCAAGATGGGATGCAGCATTCAGATTCATTCGCTCGCTTTTTGAAACAGCTAGATGTTGTATGACTTCGTAGTGAGGTATGAATTGTCGAGTGGGTTGTCAAGTTTATTTCGAATACAGGCATTGTTGCCTCTTGTCAAGACACCTGCAACGGACCAGGCTTTAAGACACGCACCATCTGTTGCACATTCCGCTGCTTTCATCAAGGGACTGTAGGGAAAGGGTGACAGCCGGGTCGCTTCCTTGGACATTTTTCTGTGCTCTTTGAACAGCACAACCGCAACAGACCCCGAAATTTGCCATGGCACCTGCGCATTCCGGGCCGCTGCCTCAGCCTGGAAGTTGCAACATCAGCGAAGATGGTGACCGCTCTCCGAGATGGAATTGTTGTTGGCTTTTGATCCTGCGATGTGAGCAGTTTTCGTTCGTTTTTTGGTCTATGGGAGACTGTAAGAAACTGCAGTTGAAGCTCCTTTGAATTGTTGCAGGTTGCAGAGGGCTACGAAGGTGAATGGGCAAAATCTGCCGACCCTTCTTGAGCGACTTGGCGCCAGTCTGTGACAGGGCCTTTTCCTTTGATCATGATCTAGAAGCTAGAAAAAATGAAATAAACATAACTTAACAGGATTCTGCAACATAGCGGGACACAACAACTATATAAAGACATAACATGGGTTAACCCGTGAACCTTTCTTATTCCAAGACATGGATTCTGACACAACATCAGGCGTCAAGTGGCGAACATGATATCTTCCCTGCATCACCTCTTTAGTGCCAAGCTAAGTAGTTTTCGTTCCGGTTTCAGACTATGAATTTCAATAATAGATCCCCCTGAAGTGGCTTTGAAATGTTTCGGAGATTTATGGGAACTGTGTGATCCTGGCATTTTAGTCGCTCCCTGAAGCCCAAGGAGTCGAATGGCATTCCGAGGCAGGGATGAAGTCTTGGAGTCAGTGGATGCTTCAGCCGATTTCCAGCATAGACTTTACAAGCGGCCGTGCCCAAGATGGAGTTGGAGTGTCTATGATCGCGCCAGGCACTCCACAGCGCAAGGTGGAGAAACAAATGATGCAGGTTAAAATTGACAAAGTGGTGGCCCCAGTGCTGAACTTGTGCTGTTCGTATCACTGGTAGTGCCATTTTATCAGAAGCATATGGGCCGACGCGTGCCGGCAATGACCAAAGAACTCTGTGCCAGTGGCACCACCTAGGCCATGGGAATCTTGGGCACAGCCCTGCACTTGGTGGGTCATCAGTTCGAATGGATTCGACAACATCCAGTTGGGTAAAGTCACTACCCCAAGGCACAACAGGTTGGGATCCGATCACATCTTTTGCCAAGGGATGATCATGAAACCAAGTTCTTCGGCAGATTTCCAAGAGGATCCGAAAGTCCAATCCCATCCAGATCCAGATCCATCTTGAACCCCGCGTCATAGTGGGATCTCTCACATCTCCAAGGACAGCCACCGCTTGCACCCCTTCTGCGCAGCAATCTCAGTCTGCCCATCACACGGTGGTGTTCACATTTTTTCCCGCGGTCAAGCTGCGGTTTCGGACCCATCATGCTGTGGTCCTTGAGGTCAGTGCCTACTACGCAGGCCGGTGGTTTGGTACGCCCGGTGGCTCCTGGTGGTCCGTTGCAACACGCCAGGTGAGGCGCCGGAGGTCGTGGAAGCGCGGAAGACCTGGTTCGTCCCCGGTGCCCGAAGTGCCATCCCGGGTCACGAGGTGGGCATTGTGCGGACTGGTGCAGGTCATGGAAGTTCCATGAAGAGTTTGGGCCATGGATCATCCCCGAAGATGGCTGGTACTGTAACTTTGCATATAGTTTTTTTGACTACACCCAGCCACACCCAGTTGGCGTTGAGTAATGGTCATGGAAGTTTCAGGGGTTTGGGTCATGAATCAACCCCCAAAATAGCTGGCGGTTACAGATGGTAAGTTATGGATCTTAATCTTAATGTTCCAAGATATAAGATGATATCAGCTTTTACAATAGGGTTTGGCCCATTCCCATGTAAAAGAATCCCCATGTAGGGTTGGTGGCTGTAGTTTTTGGGCGAAAGTGACATGGCTGCAGGGACCTGTGATCTCAGTGGTTCTGATCTTCTGTCGTCTAAGTTTGCTTTGGGATTTTGGCGAGCCCTTATTCTGCGATCTTGGGGAATCAATGAAAGGAACAAGCCAAAACAGAATGGGAACCGGCAACATGTCTTCTTTAGGTGTTTTTTGAGATTCATGTCGGGTGCGGAGCCGCCATGCCGGTGGCAGGATTGTTATTTCTTCAAGACCATCGAGATTCCCTATGACAAGAGGTGCTCTTCTTCCATGACCAACAGATCCGAAGGAAATCGCCGTACCACATAGCTTTGCAGATGTATAGATATTTAGGGATGCTCAGGAGAGTAAATTGGTTTCTGTAGGATTGAATTCTAGATAAAGTGCGTATTGGCTAGCATTGGTCACGTTTGTGTGATATTGTTGGTAAACACATTCCAAGCATGCATGTTTGCACGTTTCTGTCGGACAAACTTTCAAAAGTTCGCCGTGCTGCCAGACAGCAACTGTTGGTCGTGGACATCTTTGAATGTGAGCCAACACCAAAGATGGATATCCCGGATGATCTCATCGGAAGGCCGGGTCTTGCCGATCTGTGTCACCGGTGTTTGGCAGACATTTTGGATTCTCTGATGAGTTGTACAGATATGATACCTCAATCAAGGTCTCTATAGATTCTGTTGTACACTGGGGATCCAAGATCCATGTTTCAGTTGCGATCGTCCTGATTCGCTTTTTGATGTCAGCTAAAAGTAGAAGAACAGCTTTTCTTCAAATAAGAGGAAACAACAACCAAAAACAACCAAAAACATGAACACACGGAACGAGATGATGCAATAATGCAATGATGACGACGATGATGACGACGATGATGACGACTGACTGGACTGGAGTGGTGCCTTGGACGCCAGGGCCACCATGCCACTGGCAGATCCACGATTGGAACAGCCAGCGGAGTGGCCATTGGCACGTGGCCCCTGGGAGTTCGTGGGCACGTCAGCGCCTTAGAAACCAGAGCTTCGGCGGTTTCGATTTGGTGAATCGGTGCAAGTTTCTGCATGTTCCTGTTCCTTTGCGTTTCGTTTGTTGGAAGGGGGATCGTCACTGGCAGAGTAAGTTTGATTCTGTTTGATTTGTGTGTTGCTCTTGACGTCCAAACAGTCCAAACACCAAAGTGAACACATGCTGTCATTTGCTTCCCATTTCGAGATTTCAGACTCCAAGGGTCACTGTGAGCGTGGAATTTCCAGCTCCAGAGGCACGCTGCGCAGATGCACTGTGCTTCTATCATCTTGAAAGCGCAGTCACTAAGTTGCAGTCACTCAAACTCGCGCACTTGAGATTGAAAACCCGATGGGATATTCTGGAGCTCCATGTTTTATGATTTGATAGCTAGTCGTAATGCAATCGCTCAAAGCCGTGGCCAATCGAACCCATGAAACCTGTCCTAGGACAAAGTCTGGCCCCTGCCAGACATCAAAGACTTTCCGGCGCCGGTCTCCCCGCGTCACTGGGCTCAAAGATAGTTGAATTCGAGGCTGTCAGGAGGCTGAAGCGCTCCGATATCTTGAAATTGTTGAATGGCAAGGGATGTGTAGGATTGTGTACTAAATTGGTCTAAATTGTAGTTGGAGCCCGACCCATAGACGGCCGTGGTGTTTTAAGCATTTTTGGGCAATTTTTCGTTTTTTGATGGTCTTTCATGTCAACTAGCACACGCACACACACACACACGTCATGCTACGTTATTGTTATGTTCTCTTGCACTTGCACACACACGCCATGCTACGTTATGGTAATCTTGGGGTGGGGTTGGGTGGGGTGGGGTGGGGCAATGACGTTCATGTCAACTTGCACACACACACACACACGTCATGCTACGTTATTGTTATGTTCTCTTACACTTGCACACACACGCCATGCTACGTTATGGTAATCTTGGGGTGGGGTTGGGTGGGGTGGGGTGGGGCAATGACGTTCATGTCAACTTGCACACACACGTCATGCTACGTTATTGTTATGTTCTCTTGCACTTGCACACACACGTCATGCCACGTTATGGTTGTATCATGGAGTCAACACAAAAGAACACCCTGAATTGGAAAAGTTTGTCTTGGGTTACTGTTGGCAAGAATCTTTGGGACCATTGACACCTCACCGATTTCTCGAAGAACTTTGCAAGGCCGTCAAAGCAATGAAGCGCTTCTGAGAAGAAGGAAAAAAAGTGCTGCATCCCAAAAAAACACGAACTTATGTCAAAAAACGAAGTAGTTTTGGAGATTTTCAAAACCCTATTTTTCACGTCAACATGAGAAAAAATGACGTTTCGCTGTAGCGAAAACGACATTTTTGTTGATGAAAAACTCCTAAAACCATACGGCCGTCTATGGGTCGGGAACCTTGTAGTTATATGATATATGATATGCCTTTGTAGCTTGTGCATGCTTGTGCAATGTGCTTAGAATCTTAGAAGGTTTGACATTTTAGCGCCATAGAAATGTAGGGTAGTGGGGCAGGTCTACTGACTTCCGCAATCGACCGCCACATTTCCTTTGAGTTGGGAAAGGTATGAAAGGTGCTTGCGCTTTGAGACTGGATGAGCCTGGAATTTTCTGGCACTCAACCTTTTTTAAAACATTTTTCAGTGTTTGAGTCCTGGAATGGGTTATATCAGTTATAGAATGGGCTAGCGCCCTGGTGCCGCCGACCCCCCTATTTGGGGGGTCCTAAAGAGAGAGGGAGAGAGAGAGAGAGAGAAGCGGCATGTAGCTGTAACAGTTGTTGCCTTGGAGGCCTGCGGAAGCGTTTCGGGGGTTTGAGGCCGGGCAAACGGCAGTCTTGAACCCCCTGAAAAACAGATGGCAGGGGCATGTAGCTGTAATAAAAGTTGTTGCCTTGGAGGCCTGCGGAAGCGTTTGGAGGGTTTGAGGCCGGGCAAACGGCAGTCTTGAACCCCCTGAAAAACAGATGGCAGGGGCATGTAGCTGTAAGAGTTGTTGCCTTGGAGGCCTGCGGAAGGGTTTGGAGGGTTTGAGGCCGGGCAAACGGCAGTCTTGAACCCGCTGAAAAACAGAGGGCAGGGGCATGTAGCTGTAAGAGTTGTTGCCTTGGAGGCCTGCGGAAGCGTTTGGAAGGTTTGAGGGCGGGCAAACGGCAGTCTTGAACCCCCTGAAAAACAGATGGCAGGGGCATGTAGCTGTAAGAGTTGTTGCCTTGGAGGCCTGCGGGAGGGTTGGAAGCGTTTGGGGGGTTTGAGGCCGGGCAAACGGCAGTTTTGAACCCCCTGAAAAACAGATGGCAGGGGCATGTAGCTGTAAAAGTTGTTGCCTTGGAGGCCTGCGGAAGCGTTTGGAGGGTTTGAGGCCGGGCAAACTTGAGCCCCCTGAAAAACAGATGGCAGGGGCATGTAGCTGTAAGAGTTGTTGCCTTGGAGGCCTGCGGGAGGGTTGGAAGCGTTTGGGGGGTTTGAGGCCGGGCAAACGGCAGTCTTGAACCCCCTGAAAAACAGATGGCAGGCGCATGTAGTAGCTGTAAGAGTTGTTGCCTTGGAGGCCTGCGGAAGCGTTTGGAGGGTTTGAGGGCGGGCAAACGGCAGTCTTGAACCCCCTGAAAAACAGATGGCAGGGGCATGTAGCTGTAAGAGTTGTTGCCTTGGAGGCCTGCGGGAGGGTTGGAAGCGTTTGGGGGGTTTGAGGCCGGGCAAACGGCAGTCTTGAACCCCCGGAAAAACAGATGGCAGGGGCATGTAGTAGCTGTAAGAGTTGTTGCCTTGGAGACCTGCGGAAGCGTTTGGAGGGTTTGAGGCCGGGCAAACGGCAGTCATGAACCCCCTGAAAAACAGATGGCAGGGGATGTAGCTGTAAGAGTTGTTGCCTTGGAGGCCTGCGGAAGGGTTGGAAGCGTTTGGGGGGTTTGAGGGCGGGCAAACGGCAGTCTTGAACCCCCTGAAAAACAGATGGCAGGGGCATGTAGTAGCTGTAAGAGTTGTTGCCTTGGAGGCCTGCGGGATGGTTGGAAGCGTTTGGGGGGTTTGAGGGCGGGCAAACGGCAGTCTTGAACCCCTTGAAAAACAGATGGCAGGGGCATGTAGCTGTAAGAGTTGTTGCCTTGGAGGCCTGCGGAAGCGTTTGGGAGGTTTGGGGGGTTTGAGGGCGGGCAAACGGCAGTCTTGAACCCCCTGAAAAACAGATGGCAGGGGCATGTAGTAGCTGTAAGAGTTGTTGCCTTGGAGGCCTGCGGAAGGGTTGGAAGCGTTTGGGGGGTTTGAGGGCGGGCAAACGGCAGTCTTGAACCCCCTGAAAAACAGATGGCAGAGCATGTATAGCTGTAAGAGTTGTTGCCTTGGAGCCGGAAGCGTTTTGGGGGGTTTGGGGGGTTTGAGGCGGGCAACGGCAGTCTGAACCCCCTGAAAAACAGATCGGGCAGGGGCATGTAGCTGTAAGAGTTGTTGCCTTGGAGGCCTGCGGAAGGGTTTGGAGCGTTTGAAGCCGGGCAAACGGCAGTCTTGAACCCCCGGAAAAACAGATGGCAGGGGCATGTAGCTGTAAGAGTTGTTGCCTTGGAGGCCTGCGGAAGCGTTTGGGGGGTTTGGGGGGTTTGAGGGCGGGCAAACGGCAGTCTTGAACCCCCTGAAAAACAGATGGCAGGGGCATGTAGGTGTAAGAGTTGTTGCCTTGGAGGCCTGCCGGAAGGGTTGGAAGCGTTTGGGGGGTTTGAGGGCGGGCAAACGGCAGTCTTGAACCCCCTGAAAAACAGATGGCAGGGGCATGTAGCTGTAAGAGTTGTTGCCTTGAAGGCCTGCGGGAGGGTTGGAAGCGTTTGGGGGTTTGAGGCCAGGCAAACGGCAGTCTTGAACCCCCTGAAAAACAGATGGCAGGGACATGTAG